TTAGGTGGGTCTGGGCAGATAAGAAGACATGAGTGAATGTTTGCTAGCTGGCTAACATTAGCCAAGTTGCATTGTTAACAGCGCATGTTTGTCAAGATGTTTTTGGTGTTTTTATGACCTAGCTTTGCTACCTGAAGCCTTAAAAAGTCTTAATCAACATGACATTGCTATTCTCAGGTTTGCACTGGTCTGTTAGATTTTACAGTTGTTTCTATTTTCATTGAAAGCATTCTCACTTTTGCTGAGAACTTGAGCGTTCTGGTCTTACTGAAGGCAAACTGCGATACCAGCAGTAGAAAGCTGCGTTTCTCTATCACACTGCTCTGAGGCTCCCACATCAAACAGCGCCGGGCTGCTGAGAGGACTTTTACCATGTCAGGATATTTCACATCTCTGCTCTGAATTAACACTGGCAGGCCTTCCATCACAGGTTGATGTGTTCAAGCTCACCTGTAAAAGTCCTGCAGGCACTGGCTCAAAGGACAGTGGAATACTGGCACCAAACTTCTTCATTTAAACCGCTTTCAAGTGCTCAGCTCGACAAGACCTCAAGCTCCCTCACAGAGAAGAGCCAAGTCCAAGGGTAAAAGGGCAAGTTGGGTTCTTAGTTCTTCAATTCTTCTTTATCCAGTTTATAACAAAAAATAGTTTTAAGTGCTCATAAGTACGAAATTTACCCAAAAGATAAACAGATGAACAGACATAACTACAGACCTCTTATTTACAGACTGGACCAATAGTGTCAAATTTTATGAATAAATGCAATTCATCTTACATCTGAATCCCATATTGCTCGAGGTCTCACGTGAAAGGAGATCTAGAGGAATGGATATTACTCCACTCAACTCAACGTTCATATTGTCACTAACTGTAGTGATACTGAAGATAACACTGGCTCTGTTAAAGTGAAAAGACATCAAATATTTACAAATATATTATCTACTGAGACACAAAGAAACTGGAACTTTAACAGGACATGTTTTGCTGGCTCAGTAAAGCCAAACAACTTTCTCATCCTTCCACTACTGAAGCCTTTTTTGGACCCAAGTCATATGTAAGTCCTATCACTTATATATGTATATAAATAGCAGCCTGCAGTCTGAATTATTGAAATATACACCATCAGCAGCACTGACAATACCGATACCCTGGCCTTGGGTATCTGTCAATACCAAATATAGCTTCATTGCAGTTTCAATGCCAGTGTTAAATTAAAAAGCTGGGAATCACTCTTCTGTATGAGTTTAGCGTCAACACTAATATCTTTACTGAAGTATTTGTTAGCAATTAAAAAAATTTATACATTAAAAAATAACATGACAACCAGACCATAAATTAAATTTAAAAAAATGTTTAAATGCATTTGTTATTTACCTAATTTATTTGAATCCACTCATTACTGCACAGTTGATCGTGTATTTACAAAGTCCCAAGTTAGTGCTACCTAATCCAAATACAGGATTGGTACATCTGCAATACAGAAATCCAAAAAGCAATTTACACCGAACTGTGCTGGAAGATTCTTTACTCAATAAAACTAATCTTCTGAAATTGATCTAAATGAATTACAAATGAAAAAAAAAACAAACACATTTTGACAGGTTTATATTCTTTTTACTTTGACACATTTGACACAATTTTTTCAAGCTAAAAGGATGATATCTTTGTATAATTAAGGTGTGATTCTCAGAGAAATAGAATCTTGCATAGTCAGACTTTTCTCTACAACAGTTTAAAAACTTTTTTGGTAGAATTTGTGAACAGAAATGCAAGGATGCCCCTGATAGATCACAAATGTAAACATATTCTTTGTCGCTCTTTAAATCCATTCAGCGAAAGAACCAAACCCTTATGCGTTTCTGCATGATCCAAATCTTCATCAAAACTTGCCATTTGGCGTGTACAAGTTACTAGTTTAAGACAGTCTTATGCCAACAGTCAACATCTTATCAGTTAGACGAGGTTATTTATATACCCAACAGTTGGCAAGTCAATTATCTGGCAACACCTGCATCACGAAGATGAAACACCTGCATCACGAAGATGAAACACCTGCATCACGAAGATGAAACACCTGCATCATGAAGATGAAACAGTGTTTCAAACGAATCTGCAAAAATGTCAGTGAAAATTACAGATTAGCAAAGGGCGCGCGTGCGTGCACGCACACACACAAAATCAAAGGCAGTGAAAATCCAAAATGGAAAGCATCACTGATATAAGGCCTCAAACCTGTACTCAGGTCAACGGGACTAAGGCACGGCTGTAGGAGCCACAAGAAGAAGCTCTGGTGCTAATGTTTGCCAGAGGGCATGTGGAAAGTCCAGAGTCCACTTCGCAATCACACTGAGAATTTGTGGCAGAACTTAAAAACCTCTCTTCGTGTGGGGCACAAGAGTGTCCGAGGCCAGCTTTGCAAATTAACCACAACATGCACACAAGTAAAAGAGTGGGTTTAGTGAACGCTGACAAAAAAAGGGGGAAACATTTGCATAGATTTCTAAGAACTAAAATACCACGTGCCCTAAATCCAAATAGATGACACTTGTCACTGTGAACAGGTCTGTCCGTCACAGGGATGCCAGTCCTGCTACTTCATGACTGATTGAGTCAGTCACAAAAGCTTTATGTTACAGCGTGGAGATGCCAGTGAACAATTTGCACATTTCAAACAAAATAATTTAGGAAAATTCACAAC